ACTAGCTCAAATTAAAGAAAATTAAAAGCAATTCATTATATCTCCTTATATCACCGTTTATCTTCTTTTGTTGGATAAGAACAGAATCAGGATTGTACTCTTGTTTCAGAATATTTAAGAATCAAAAGAGAAAATTCCTTTCCCCAGCCTAAGAGCTGTGCTAAAGCTAAGCATTTATTTGATGATAGATGCTTATTATAATCACTTTCTAACAATTTGCTCAGCAATTAAAATCAATCATGCTGTTTAATTTCTCTTAATTTGGACACTTCAGATTTGCATTTCATATGAAACTCTTCCTTCAAAACTTGATTAGCTGTTTTTAATAATCTCCATTAGTCTTGAATCCTTCAATACACATAATTTTATTATTTTTTTCTCTCACATCTATTTTTGCTTCAGTTGAATCACTGGTCTCAAGATGTACAGTACCTATTTTGCTCTCCTCTGTGGATTTTTAATCCAGCTCCCTCCACTTTCTAGTGGAGCCAGTCTCTCTGGGCCACGAAAGCTGTCTACCTCAGTGTATCTGCACTCCCATTACTTTAGCTTTAATGCTAAGGTGCCACCAAAATTCCAAAGCGATGCATGAAATTCTTCTCATATGCATTGCTAGTGCATAACTCATTAATTGCAATTCCTTTTTTTCCATTGAAACTAAGGAATCCCATGACACTAAATTCCAGGTACTTCACCACGACACTGTATTGGGTCTGGCTGAGACGGAGTTAATTTCTCCATAGCAGCCCTCACAGTGCTGCACTTTGCACTGGTAGCTGGAAAAGTGTTGATAACACACCAATGTTTTGGCTACCGCTGAGCAGTGCTGGCAAAGCATCAGCACTCTCTCTCAACATTCCTCCCCACCTCCCAGTCAAGGGCAAGATCCTGGGAAGGGACACAAGTAGGCCAGCTGACCCAAACTGACCAAAGGGATATTCCATATCATATGACATCAGTTTAGATATAAAAGCTAAGGAAAGGAGCAGGAAGGGGGGGAATTTGCTGTTTACAATGTCTGCCTGCTGTGAAATCACTATGTGTGCTGAAGCCCTGCTTCTCGGGAAGTGGCTGAACACCGCTCACTAATGGGAAGTAGAGAATAAACCTTGTTATTTACCTCTTCGCTTGTGTGTGTACAAACTTTCACTTTTGCTTTAGTAAACTGCCTTATCTCAACATATGAGTCACTTTTCCAGCTTATTTTCTCTCTCCTGTCTGGCTGGGAAAGGGAGTGATAGAGCAGCTTGGCATCCAGCCGAGGTCAACCCACCACAGACACTAAGCTTATGCCTTTAAAAGTGAAGTTGGATTTTCAATTTCATGCCCAACCACTGTAGTCACACAATTGAGTAAAACAGTAAAAGGGCTCGAGATTCCTCTGAGATGTCTTCTCCCTCATGCTGCAGTGATGTGGACCTCATGAGCGTGGTCTTGCCCGCTACTGATCTTGTCAGGCAGGAATACAGGGATGTGGGGATTCCAGTCTCAGGTTTTGATAAAAGCATGAGCCTGTACTGTGTGACAGGCTAGATCCAGAACAATTTCTAGTGCAGAATCAAGGGCCATATTTCCATGTCATTGTGATTTGAAAAAAAAAGAAAGTCTTAAGCCAAAAAGGAAAAAACTGAAGCATATGAAATGTAAACCGTTAAGTAAGCTTTTATTTCAGTAATGCCCATTTTTTCTTTTTCTGACCTTTTCCCATCCACGCTTGATAATCTCTTAGACAGTATTAGAGAAGGCAAAGGTTATAAGATTTATCTGATATACAATATTATAGCTGTTAAAAACCTTAAACTGCTTCCTTTAGGAAAATGAACAGAAAAGGAAAATAAAGAACTGCAAAGATCTTTTAAAAATGTATCTGTCTCCTCTCTCCAGGGCTTTTTGCTACTTGAAGCTTGAAATACAGATACAGCAAGCAGTCTTAGCAATCTCTTCAGGTCCTGATAGACCAGCATTATGTAGTTTATGATATTGTTTTCTCATGCCAGGTGCAAACTTGGTGTCATCACCAGCTATGGTACATATTTTTTAAACAGAAGGCAAAAATGGATGGGAAAGGATGAAGAATCTCAATTTATCTAATTGAGATAAATAGAGATTATCAAATCTCTATTTATCTTTAACTTATCTGAACAATACAGGCTTTCCCCTATCAGTGCCAGAAACACTGCACAGATGAGTTCACCAACATCTTTACTTATTACTATACTAGTGGAAATGCAGGGTGAGGGAAGAAAAAAAGAAGAGACTTAGTGTGCAGGTTGAGGTGTTCTTCAGTATTTAGAGAGAAAAGTGATGAAGCCTGCTCAGGTCATTATTGCTTCTAAAATGTCACGGTATCCTGGGATCATGGCAATAGAAGTTGAACAACATAGGATTTAGATAATCCTAGATTCAGAATCGTAGGGCTAGAGGAGATTTTAAGAGGTTATCCAATTTGTATCACTAAGAAAAATCAGCTCTTGCTGCATCATTTCTCAGTGCCTTGCCTGTTCTTAAATATCCTTCTTCAGGCAGATGCTGGACAACAAAACTATTTATTTTTGACCCTTACTGTCCTTGCTACTAGAAAACTCTCCCTAATGTTGAAGCAGAATATATTTTAAATTTTTGCTATGTGTCCTAGCCATTATGAAAGCAGATAATAGACATTTCTCTTTCTGCTAGCAACAGCCTGTTTCCACCTAACATATTTTCCTTTCCAGGTTAAACAAATATAATTCTTTGACTCCTTTTTTTTTTGTAAGATGAATTTCCTAGAGGTTCTCAATTGATTATAATACATCTGGGAATACTCTATGAGTATGCCACAGTTTTCCTGAAAATGCTAAACTTGGGCTCAGGCTAAGTTTCACCAAGACAATTTTGAATTGCTTACCTTGGTTTTTTTTGCATGTTACTAGTCCCTTTCACTCTGGTTTGCCCACACAGCACTTAGGTTCACAGCCTCCAGTCCACACTCCCAAAGCCTGATATCTTCATTTCCCTTCACAATATCCCCAACCACAACCACCTCTGATGTTAGTCATCCCTCATTAGACCTCTTAGCTCGTTGATTGATACAATCAATCAATTACAAATGTCATTTCACAATCTGTGGGGCAGATCAGGAGTCTTTTTTGCTCAAATACAACTTCCTTGTTTCCAAGTTTGCAGAATTTGTTGGTTTGAGTGTGTTTCTGATCCTGAGTTTGACTTTCCATGGCCAAGAGAAATCTCCAGACACTGTACACCCAATGTATGTGCTCCTCTCCCATAGGCTTGTGCCGCATATGCCTTACTTTCACAGAAGGCACACAGATGTGCCTAAACACAAAAAGAAAAGACTGCCTATTTTTTGCCTGGATCATCACTTCTGTAATAGTAATAATAGTAAAAAATTCCTTACCTTAGAAGTTTTTCCCCCTTCCCTTACAGAAGAAAAAATATAAACAAGTAGCATTGAACAAAGGGCATTTTTACTGAATGAGAAGACAAAATGAAAGGGTGCAAGAGGAAAGATCTGAGCACCTTCATATAGCTACTGAAACAGAAGAATATGTACCACAATGTGTTTAGCGTACAAGCAGAGGTATTGAGATGTAGGAAATAATCTGCAGGTGTCAGAGTATCCTGCTCTTCTGGTTTTAATCATCATTCTTTACTTCTAAGTATTATCTACATCTCAGATCTTCAGGAAGCTAACACTCATATTTACTGACAAAAATATAAATATAGATACATTAATATATATATGAAGACAAAACATTTTAGTAAGGAAATTTATAAATTAAACTTATACCGAAGTGGCCTTACTTTTAAGACACAGTGCTTTTGTCCCCTGTTATATCTTTAGGTGGATCCGAAAATTGCTGAAATCTTTGGACCAAGGTTGCCAACGAGACTACCAAGGGAGTCAAACGCTCACTGGGCCTTGGTGCTGCCGAAGCACTGCACTGCCCAAGAAGATAAAGAAAAGTAGGCCTGTAGATGTATGCTGAAAGGATGTCCATTTCTTTAGATATCAATAAATAAATGACAGTTCCTACCTAACTTTTTAAGAGATACCTAAAGGTGCAGGCTGCCCACTGTTCCTTCTACTTGGTACCTGCTATCTCACACTACTAACTCACCTCACAGCCTTTAGCCACCTTCTTTGATAAGACCTTTGATACTACCTATTAATACCACTAATGTCACATTAACATAATGATTTTGAATAAAAATAATTGCAATAAACCTTTCCATATTTTGGTCTTTGTCATCACAACGAGTTCCCACTCACAGAAATATTTGTTTTGGTGATCAAAGCAATAAAGCAAAAACATAGACACCAGCTCTCTGAAAGTCTTTCTGCCATCCAAAAATGTTAGCATTTTATAAGCTATGTTTCCAGAGATACACATCCAGGAGCATAGCAGTTTATTATCTCTTTACCATTGCTGCTGAGTGATGTCTGCCAAGCTGCTGCATACGTAAAAAAATACATGTGTTTCACCTTTAAAATGTGTCTTCATCTTTTAACTCTTAGCTCTCTCTTGAGAAACAATATATATTAAGAGATTACTTTGTTCTTCTTCCCTTCCAGAAAAAGTTTTAAGCTTGAGTCTGTTATCACACACTCTGCATTAAAAGGAGCATTTTAAAAAGATCAAGATGAAACAAAAATCCATATCCTTTTTCTCTAACTGTATTTTGTAAATATCAATCCAGCTTCTTTTCCAGTGTTTATTTAGATGCTGCAAATTTGAAGGGAAAATGTCTGAAGAACAGTAGAATTCTTTTTTTTTCCTCAAACACAGATGCAGAGAGATTTTGTTTACTGTTTATTGTTTACAGATGAAGCCTGAGAGAAGGAAACCCATGCCAATTTATTTTTCAAACTAATCTTGACATTGACAGAGGGAAACAACTTGACTCAAATGGAAGCTAGTTTAGAGAAACTAAAAAAAACTTACTTAAAGTTTTTTGACTTACAAAAAAAAAAAACCAGACAAGAGTCAGAAAGGTACCTTTTTACGACATCTTCTCCATTCCAACACGGGAGCCCATCTGCAGCTGCCAACTCGTTACTGCACATCTGGTCAGCCAGGCCACCATAAAAGGCTCTGTAGAGCCGGAGGTGGCTGATAAATTCCCTGCACAGGGGAACACGAGAAATAATAAGCAGTGTCAATCAACACATTACTGTTGTGCATTTATACAAGAGAAAAAAGAATGTGCTTATTCCATTACTCTCCACTGGTTCCAGTGATATTTTAAATCAATTTGTCAATTTCCTGTTAGATAAGTTTGACTGTTTCAGATACACTTTCATAGTTTACAAAGTTTTGATATTCCCACTGATCAAATAAAAAAAAAAAAAAAACACCTACCTTACTCATGCTCTGGAACAGGAACTATTTTCCTTCAACCTAAAATTTTTTTGCATACTTGTGATACTGTTTGTAATGCTATACTTGGACCAATAAATGAAAAAATGTTCCAAAAAAAGCAGCACAGCAAATAAAAAATTAGTTGCATATGAATAAGTCACCTCTTTTTCACAAGAGCTATCAACTAGTCCCCTACACATCTTTACAGATAATGCAACAAATATTTGTTAAGAGTTATGCAGCAACTCAGGATTTAGGTAAGACAGGTAAGATATAGGTGTTAAATATTTAGTGGAGATTTAAATAATTGCCTGAAAGATTACATCAGTTCCACCATGTGCCGTGCTGGTATGTTATAAATTATGTATTGTTATTTTAAATAATAGTCAAGATGCCCAGAGCTAATGATAAGGTTTTGTACTTACTTCAAAACAAATTAATTACTTTTTAGTTAGTATGTTCTTAACTGAATTGTGATATTTTATATAAATTGTTTGCTTATGTATTGAAAATTTCTTCCTGGGACACCTCTTCCTGCTGTGAAAAATTGAAATATTTATTTATTTTGGTGTAGAACATCACACTTTACTGAGTTATCTATGACCTGCTGGCACACAGAAAAGCACCACCAAAGGCTGTACTCATTGCTCTGTAATCCAGCAAGCTTCACTTTATGTTAACTTCTTGTATAGAATATGGAGTTGAGAAAAAATGCCAGAAATAATCTACATATTTCTCCATATTCTGTCAATGTAGGCCTAAAGTGGTATAAGGAATTAAATTAAGTATTGTTTACTTCAAATTAAAACAGATAAAACATCAGTGATTACAGACAGTTCATCATTTAAAAAGCCATATGTTCTTTCATGTAATACGGCAAATATTTTACAGAAACCACAGTGATTTTGATTTACTATGCCTATTAAATGTGATGTGAGTGCTTTACTAATTCTAAAACTACAGTTATGAAAAATCTCATGTATGGTCAATTTCGACTATGTATCATATAATTGCCTATGTGCAATAGATTTTAAATATGTAAATATGATTCATCCACACTCTCCTAGCCATGAACAGTCACATCTTTTATTTCTTCACACCCAAAACTGAATCCAGTGTGCACAGTGCGTTTGCAATTTCCCTACAATTCCTATTGAATGGGACTGATTTCATTTTTGTCTATGCTTTACATTTACATTTGGGATGAAAACTAGTGTTTAGAGTCCTCGCAAAGTGAGTAGTTGGAATTTCTTCTGAAGAAGACACAGAAATAAATAAATACAGCTGGCATAATATCTTTTCACAAGCTGCATTTTAACAGAAAGGTCATTCAGTTTATTAGTAAATACAACCTGAGGCAAAGCTAAAGTTAATAGAGAAGTAAGAACTGATTTCAGCCCCCACTGATGTCTGACCAAAGCAGTTAGAAGGGTAGATGGTATGAATGTCAATTTTCACATCATCATCTTCGAGACCAGATAGCATGTAATTATGGGCAGCTGAGCACAAATGTGCAATTACAGTCAGTGGAAGCCGAAGATACTTTTTATCTGTTTATTTGAAAATGTTCTTTTTTTCTTTTTTTTTTCTCATTCTCTGTGCTAAAAGCTGTCTGCAGTATTAAGTTCTGAGGAAAGCATTACATACTTTCCAGTTTGTATGTTGCTATGGAAGGGTCTGCTTAGCTTTTTTTTAAAATTCCTCTAGCAATTTTTTGGCATGAAAAGCATAGAGAAATTTCTTTTTCTTCTTGTACCACACAGTAGCAGAAAATACCAGCTTAGGTCCAATGGTAAAAATAATTGAGGAAAAGTTCAGGCAGAAGCAGTTCACCATGTACTTTAAATGTAAACTTTCATCTGGAGATGCAACTGAAAAACATTAGGAAATCAGGAGTCACATATTTAATGCAATTTTTTTGTTCATTTGTTTTCTCTCAGATAACTGTCATTGATAAAGTCTCCAGTTTGGAGAAGCCTATTCTTTTCTGCTAAAGCCTGTGAAAGTTGCTGAGAGCAAGTTGTTGCCAGAAGTACATAGGCAGTAAATAAGGTGGACTTAGAGAAGAACACTTCCTTCAGAGCAGGCTGCAAGCATTTGCTGAAATCTCTCTTTCATGTGAGGTTCTTACAGTTGCCATGGGAATATAAAGTGAAATATAAAGTGATTGTGACTAATAAGGAAGGAGGTGATTCAGGAGGCAGTAACTGCAGGTGATACCAACTATGAAGCTGTTAAACTGAAATCTGCGTCAGTGGATCTCAAACTTTCTTTCCCTTCCTCCTTTCTGGTGCAAAGCCTGTGGCATGCCATAAAGGGTCTCCAGAATCTCAAGGCAGGTAGATATCAAGGGAAAACAATGTTGCTTTGTGTTGCCAACCGTCTTCTCCTGCCCCTTAGGGTCTCTCGGGATATCTCCCTTAAAGTCAGTCCAGTGTTCAATCTTGGTTTAAGTGACATTTTAGAACATGGTTTCATGTTTGCAGAGTGTTAGTGATGAGAAAAGATCAAGAACTTGCTTAGCTACACATAACTGAGAAACATGTGACTGTCTAATGGGTATTCCCTAATGAACTTCTGTTCTGGCTAAAGCAAACTTCTCTTTCTGTTCCCATAATGTTTTCCACAACTTGTGCTATGTATTTTGGTTTGGGTTTTTTTCTCCACTGTTGCTACATGAGGGTTGTTACACTAAAAAGAATGGTCTGCCTTTGAAGCTCAGAGGCTCCTTTTCTTCTCCAGACATCAGGAGTGAGCAATTATTCCCTGCAATTTTCTCACTTCTGTTTCTTTCTGCACTGCAAAAGAAAATGAGAGGAGAAAGAGGAAAGAAAACTTCTGTGTATTTTAGCAAACACTGTGACAGAAATGAAACTTCTGATTTTAACTTTGCACTTTATTTGCATAAAATAAGACCTTTAGTCTCACTGCAACACTATCCTTACGTTTTACAGTGCTATTACTACTTACAGTCATTAAAAACTTGATTCACTTGTCTAAATATAAACTGGCCTTTGAGATGCTTTCAGCTATGCAGGATACCTGCAAAAAGCTAGAAGAAATTAAACAACTTACAGTGCACCTGCATCCTTCTTGGTAGGAGTAGCTCAGTTGGGATACCCCAGCGTATCCTTGAGTGGCACTGGATGCTTGTAGATGCGTGGGCAGCTGAAATGAGTTCTCATTTCCACAGACTATAACAGCAGCTTAAACATTTAACTCGTAAGCAGTTAGGCAAATTTCACCCTGCAGTGCTGAGACATTAAATGAAATCTCCAAGCCTTTGCAGTCTCCTCAATTCACTATATACTGGCAAAAGAGAGAGAGAAAAAACCAACAGGCCTTGCTTGAACAGGACTTTCAAGATTTAGTCCCAAATGCTTAGTTGTCTCATTTTTTAAACTAGAAAAGTATGTAAGAAAAGCCTTTTTTTCTGTGTTATCAACTTGTACAAATAGTCTTCTATAAAAAGCTACAGTCAGTTTTTTTCAGATTTAATACTGCCTGCTGATGTGCAAAGTTAAAAGTAATTTGAATAATTACACATAAAGATAGAGCTAACATTCATATCCTACCAATGTTATCCACTCAAATACTTTAAACCACATCAAATGACTCTGGTCATATGTCCATTATTTCAGAAAACAAAATTTAGTCATAAAATTACTCAATCCAAAATATAACAGAATAGACAGTGCTGAAATGTTTCATTCTTTGGAGTCTTTATTCTCTAGTAATGCATGCCATTGCATTGAATATAATCTATTCTGTTGTAAAATTAATGGCTTACTTTAGTCTTTCTTTCTGGCTGTAAAACTAATGTCTTACTTTCTTCTGTTGGTGAGCATTTCTTCACTGTCTCTTGAGAACATCTTCAACCCTTGATTATCTTTGTTCTGATCAAAGGAGCAACCTGGAGACTGTGTAGGCTTCCTTACAGGAGGACCACATATCTTTTTCACCTAAATGGAAAAAAAGCCACAAGAAGAAGGAAAGAACACATGTAAACAATAATTATTACGTATTTCTCAATTCAGTTTAAAACCATTTTAATAACAGAGAGAAAGATCTGTAGACATTAAGCTAAGAAAACTATAATTAATTATAATACTTCTCAACACTATATCCGTAATGAGTGAGCAAACACAAAATTAGTCATTTTATAGTAGGAAAAAAATAATAAAGGAACTAATTTTTAAGGAATACCAGGTGTATAAGAAAGTCACCACATGTATTTTATTGATTGTGGCTTTTTAATTTCCATAAGAGAAGTGTATTGCTATGCAGACAGTAACAGTAACCTCAGAGAATAGGATGTGTTGTGAACAGCAGCATATTTCCATTTTTTCTGTGATATATCCCAATGACATTTTTAATATGCATTGAACTTCGTGATTTCTTTCAAGGTTGATAAATTATTATGGTATGTTCAGCACAGTTACACAGAGCATATACTGAATAGTGAGCATAGTGGAAACTTGCATTACAACATTGCAACATGTTAATTTAATGATCCAAGATGTAAGTTTAATGATTTGGACCATAGATGTTGAAAATATCAAGGCATTTCATGTCTGGCTTTCTGATCTGGATGTCAGTAGATACATATTCACAAGAACGCCCATTTTCTTCTTTGTAAAATGTGATACTGAGCATTTTGTACGATAGAGGATATCAAATCGTGTTTATAGCCCATTACTCTTCCTAGACACTGAATAAAAATAACTAGGGCCATATATATTTATTAAGTAAGAGATAGTTCATGCTGGGAATCATATCAGACAAGATATTAAGCAGACTGAACAGCATGTATTTTGTGTAAGCTAGCACACAGGCACTGGTGAAAAACTAACACTGCGTGTGATTTACGAAAAGTTGGTTTCAACAGGTGGTCAACTTTCTTAAAGAAAAAAGGGAGAGAGGAGATCGCTGTTGGCTCTAAGACAGGGATCCAGTTTTTGAAGCTACCATGAGAAGGAGGAAAGAGTGTGTATGTTATACAGCAAGGATTATTGTTTCCTTTTGCATTTAATATCCCCACATGTAGGAACAGAGAAAGCAAATAAATCTCATTTTCAAGTTATCATCATACATAAAAGAGAGAAGTGTAAGTCTCAGGGACCATCTTTCCAACTAAGAACTGCTGTAGTGTTAATTAAGAAATACATTTAATATTTAAAATAGAATAAACACAATTTTGATGAGTTTGTTGTTATGCATGGTGTAAGAGGTGATAATGTAAGACTCATTGAAGGTACTTGCTTAGGCCAGTGAAAAGAAGAATCAGCATTATTGCTACACATGAATATTGAAAGCAAGAGTAAAGTCAAAACCGAACAGTCCTTTTGGGGTGTGGCTCACATGTCTTAACTCAGGCAGCCAAGTTATAGCTTGAATCCCCTTCAAATGAGATGCATGAATTTACCTGCAAGACAATCGTCTCTGGACATATGACTAACGTCTTTTAAGGGATTACACTTTAAACAACCCTTAAAGTATTAATTTCACCATTTCTTATCAGAAGCAGTGTCTCTTTGGGTAGCATCTTACTACATTTGCTCTTGTCCTCAAATTCAGTTTCCAACCGCCCTCACACTATTTTCCCCATTAGCTCTTCTTCAGAGCACCTTATAGCACACTCCACCAGCTTAACTGGACTCTCATTCCCCCCCCCCCCCCTTTAAGTCTCTACACTTTTTCTAGGCTTCATCCATCCTTATGTGAGTTTTCTCCTTCAGTGCTGCACTTTGCCAGCCTCTGCAGCAGCCTATCCCATCAGCCAGTCTACACTAATAAAACGCAAATATACCAGAGGGACAAAATATTTTCATCCTTTTACTTGTCTCACTTTTCTCATATTCTCTTATTCTCGTTTATGTGACACAGGGAGCTTTATGCTTATGATCAGCTTTTATGACAAAGCAACTGATTGATTGAGTTGTCTCATTTCCAGCTTGCCATGCACTTTAACTACTGTCTGTCTCACCAAGAATAAAAATAAGGGTTTAACAGAGAGTGAGAGTCAGATCGAGATGGGAAGGAGACTCTGTCTCATGACAGGCATGAATTAGGTGTGTAGGTTGTTGTAGGTCTTAGGTGCCTTGCCTATCTGAACAAGGTACCTTCACTGTCCAGACACTCACAGAGACTGACTGCAGGGTGGGAGCCTGTGAGGGGAGGAGAAATAGGGTGGAGATGACTCACTGGCTAACACAGCCTCTAAACAGATGAGTACCAGTTCTTCAGGTCAAGGGGAAAAAATAAAATAAATAAATAAATAAATAAATTGCCTCCAGTTACAATAAACTGAAACCCCTCTATATACATTCAGCTTCCCTAGGAAAACAAGAGAATCCACAGTTATCTATTTCCTGAATTTACAATAAAGTCTTGTTATATTTTACTCTAATAGGAACAAAAAAAAAATAATTTTTACAGTCATAGTGCCTCGGAATATGCATGATACTTGTTTTATATGTGTTATACATATAAACAGTTTTTTCAAAGTACCGTCTAACAGTTTTTCTCTCTGTTCTCTTTGAGTCAATGGCTCCAGAAATGCATTGTGCAATACTAGGAAATTTGCATTCACTGATACATGTAAATACAAACCTTAGTTCCAAATATAAAATCTTTCTTAAAAATTAATCTTGGGTAAACTTTATACATAAAAATAACATTAAAAGTCAGTAATTATCTGAAATGTCTTTTTAAGAACTTAAGATTTTTTCTCAGTGTTTGAAAATTCTGAAAATTCTACTGAAAAGCATTTGCCCAGCACCATGTACACCTCTGCCATTCTCACAAAGATATGCATGACAGTAATCATACTGCTGAGAACTCAGTTCTGCTAATAACAGCAACAGCACAAAGTTAGCTTACCAATCTTTAGCAGAGTCACTTACTTATTCAGACATACTTTGTTCAGAATGAGCTACTTCAGCCTGTACAATGGTAATGTCATCCTCTCCATTATCTTTCTCATATCTCTGATGTTCAAACCCCAGGCACCACTGACTGACCAACTGTGTTGGTTCTTCTTTGTGTGTTTGGTACGTTTATGGCTCACCCAGCTGAATCCAACCTGGGTTTTTTAACTGTTCAGTAGTGTCTGTCACTTCTATGTAACGTTTAAATCATTAACAGTATGCGCATGACAAATTTACTTCTGCCTCCCACACTAGCCTAGTCTTCATTACCACCTGGTTTTTTCAGTAAACTTGTGTACATGAAATGGTTATATACTCTTATCTTGCCTTCAGGTGCCTGTTCTGTCTGTGAGCCAAATAATTTATAATCAAAATATTTCAACATTTTGTTTCCCAGTACAGGGCTGATGATAGTCTAAAAAAGAGATGAATACAGTTTCCATAATCATGTCTGCTTCTTTTTTTTTTTAATGCATTCTTTGTATCTCAAGGAATGAGTACCTGTGGTAAATGTAACACCACCTAGTTGTATTTCCTGTGTTTTCTGAAGTACTACAACTATTAGCTGCATTGTTTCTTAATTTTTAGTCTTTGGGCTGCAAAATTAACCTTGCAAGTAAAAATTCATGTAGTGCTATTATTGCTAGTCTTGAGAGACATTGACTGGAATCATAACCTTAAGAGAAGGGGAATGAACTAATAAATTACCATTTTGCATCAATATCTGAGTAGAATGCTTTCTTATTATCTTCCAGTTTCACTGGAATGGTATCCCTTCTGAATGTTTCCACAAACTGAGTGGATTTTTTTGGCTTCAGAAACCAAATCACTGAAGAATGTGTAAAATGATCCTCAAAGGGGATCAAAAATACCCTGAGAAAAGTGAGACTGAAAAATCACCAGAAATATTATTCAGGAGAAAATTACACATCTCACTGAATTTCAGGAAGAATTAAAGACTGCTATAAAATTTTAAAATAGACAAGCCTCGGCAACTTACTAGGATTTTTTTTCCTTTGGTGAAATGTTCTTAAGTGCCGCACAATATTTAAGGACATAAAAGGAAACATCAGAAAATGATAAAACTCCTGATTTTTACAGTTCAGAAAAACCTATTGTCATTATACTCAGCATGCTGCTATTATGCACAATTTGTATGCCACAGTATGATGACTGGGTTAATTAAAAGCTCTTGTAATAACCATGCAGTTAAATTACAATTAGTGCTGCCCATGAACTTTATGGCAGTTTGATTTTGCTTGGTGTAATTCCTTAAAATGTCAACTTACGGTTACTTACAGTTTGGAAAACTGGGGCATCATAAACCTTTATATTTACACAGGACTGGACAATGATGGGAGTATCATATTAATAATGGTCAGACGCTGTTCTCTAAGTTCACACGCTCAATATAAGAAATCTGACACATTCTTTGTTTTGGTTTTGGTTTGTGGGTTTTTTTCTTCCCCACCACAGAATTTATTCTTTCTGACCTCAGCATTTCTACTGAAATTATTTTACATCACATGACTGAAGCAAACTGAATGCACAGTCCTGTAATGCACTTCAAACTAGATTTGCCAAGTGATTAGTGACGCTGCTACTGTGACAGAATTAAGACTCGGGAATCCTGAGACCCTCCGCTCCAATTTGGGTCATACACTGTTGTGAAATACACAGAAAAGATGATCATCTACTCCTGCAGTGTGTTCACAGTCTTTTTCACTAGTTCTTACTGCTGCGCACAGAGGAAGAGGGAAGAAAAAACTTCTCTGTATACAAAATCTCTTGGGCTTAGACTCAGCTCTAGCCGGGAAGCAGAATCAGGAGTCTGAAAATTGCCCTTTTCTTTATGTTTAACTCTTCTATGTACGTTCTCAAAAGTTTAGCAAGCACTGTGAGTTTTTGATACATACATATATATATATACATATATATATATATGCTGGATTTCCTGTAAATGAGGTATTTGTCAATATTCTCTAGATTGATCCAGTCTTTCAGACCTGCAAGGCATCAGAGTGGCCATAGTC